CCTTTTTCACTGTCTTCCAGATAATTTTAAAAATGGTGTTGGAATTGCTTTTTTGCAATGTGGCAGCCTACCATTTTGTTTTCTCTTCAAACTCAGTCTCAGAATTGTTTAAGAAAATCAGCGTCAGAATTGTTAACACAACACACACACACAAAAAAAAAAAAAAAAAAAACTCTTCCACTATTTGTTGCTTGAACATTTTAATGAAGAAATAAAACCAAAATTATCTAATTATAAGTCTGTCTGTTTTTTTTTTTTTCCCTGCCAGGTTTCATTTATGCATGAATTGAAATGGTTTTAAAATTATTTCATTAACAAAAAAAAACAATAAAACTGAAAGATTTTTTTTTTTTTGATGAGTATCTAGTAACATTAACTCCAGGACAAAAATATTGTGATCCATTTTATCAGTTTTACAGAGTTTCCATCCCTCAGCAATTTGAACATCTCCTTTTGGTACGAACATAAAGATTGACTGCATATGTGAATGCAACCTGAAGCTACCAACTACATTTTATTTTTTTTTTTTAAAACATACCATTACCCCCTCAAGTTAAAGAACTACTTGTGGGTCACATGGGCCATAAACTGTTTATTTGTACTGAATGAAGTTAGCTTGTTAGCTGGAAATTAAAAATTTTACCAATTCAACAGCTATAAATAAACCCTGCTTGGCAAGTGGAGTGGGGGATCACACACACACTTCTAAAAAAAAAAAAAAAATCTTCAATATGAACACAAGGCATGTCCAAATACAGTGATTTACAGAACTCCCTTTTAAGAAATGAGGAATTTCTCAGATTTAGCAAACACCATCAGTTCTTTAATTTGGTTTTAGTGGTATTAAGATTTCTGCTTCTTTTTTTTCTCTCCTTATTTTATAGCCAACTACAGTTGTCGAATAACTTAAGCAGAGGTTGACAAGATGCATTCAGTAGTGTATCATGACCTCTCATCCATTGGGTACAACTACCAACCAGACAATATCCACACTGCACAGACAGTTCACTCTTCAAGATACAGACAAGACATGGCATGACATTGTAGAGTGAATGTAGATAGTGACCACTGCATTTTGCAATAGTAAAAATTAAAAAATCCAACAATTACAGAAACTTGCTGTGTTGAAACAGATTCAGTTTGTTGGACTTATGCAGATATGCAGAGGAACAAATAATGAAGATGAGTTGTGGGTCCTTAATTATAGGCTTTGGAATTTTATTCAGAGACAATTTATCTTATTTGTTGCCATATTTATTACAACACTCCAGCCTTCTTTGGATGGTTGGAATGTCAAACTGAACCCTTTATTTCACTTACTGGGGTAAACTGTTCTAGTGCCATGTTTAATGGATGTCAGTTATTGCCTGTTAATTCCTCTCTGTCTTAATCAGGTATTGAACTCACACTCTTTGGGTCCTATCACTGGATCTAACTAATGCCTTTATCCATTATGCCATGTGCCCTTGAGGACATCTGTGTAGGAATTTCTGGGTATTATAAACCTAATGTCTTCCTTTTTTTAACACATTAGTTTTATAATACCCAGAAATTCATACACAGATGTCCTCAGGCACAGTGGATAAAGGTGTTGGTTAGATCCAGTGACAGGATCAATATTGTGAGTTCAATACCTGGTTAAGGCAGTGGAGAACTTGCAGAGCAGAATTAACAGGAGATAACTGATATCCATTAAACATGGAACTATGACTGTCTACCCCAGAGAGCAAAATAAAGGGTTCAGTTTGACATTGCAACCACCTGAAGAAGGCTGAAACATAATATGATGACAAAGATTTAGGTAATAACTGGCTGTTGCTTTGAGGCAACTGGGCATTGCCCAAGTCTTGCTCTGTTAGTTACTCACTCTCCTGCAACCAGCTCACAGAAGATGAGCATGTACATACGCTCAAACTTCAGTAGTTCAAGGGTCAACCTGTAGAGAAGATAAGACCTGACAAGCCACAGACTATGTAATACAAGACGTGTAACTTCTTTAAAAACTTTAGTCAAGCATCACTTATCGATGACAAACTTTCTTGCTGGCATTAAACAAGTCTGTGTCAATAAATTTTTATTTATGTCAAATTAAGTTAACTATTAATCTACATCTTTCAAAGAAACCAATTCTAAACAAAGAGTGGGATGTGTAACATACAATTCTAAAATATTTAAACCTGTGCTCATCAAAGCCAGGGTGTGGGTAAAGAGTCTTATTTCTACATAAATTGCTTATTGTCTAATAAATGCAAACTGATATTCAGTGACCCATCTGACAAATACTGTGTATGTGATTAAAAGCAAAACACAAATATGAAAGAGCATCAATATTAATGTTTACAGAGATCATTTTGTGTATGTGAGCACAGTTTGTCAGTGAGAAATTAACTGAGCAGTAGTAACAACAGTTAGTGAGTTCCAACCAGCAAAACTTGAACTGAATGCATGTCAAATGCATTTTATGAACAATACCAAATGCAAACTAGTCACGAGTTGATTAATATCTGCAACTAGACTGTAGCATCACATTTCACTAGAGTGGGTGACATACTTGCACATCAGAGGAAAAAAAAGTACAAGATTCAAGCAGAGTGACATGCATTGTATTCTTTTGAAAAATATGTGATCCTCTCAAAAGCACAAATATTGAAAACCCAATTTTTTCATTTAGGCCAGATATTTTTTTTTTTTTTTTTTTTTGCTCAAAACAAACATTTAACTATTTCAACCAGATATCACATTACAAATTTTGCCAAGATTTGTGGACTTCCCCTTTCAAGCTGATAAACTATACAGACAATACATATCAGATTGTAGCAAAATGGCTTTTGCACAATTGCAACTCTTAATTGTTAGAAACCAAATCTTTCCAGCAAACATAATTCAGACATTACTTCTTTACTATTTCATAATCTTCACTGGTTTTATTAGGTTAAGATTGTTTAATTATCTAAATGTATATTTTTTTTTTTTCTACAAACACCCTATGGGAAGTCATAACAAATCAAGATTGGTATAGTCAACATTTGGCATTATATACACAACTAAATAATTGCAGTCAAAACTTCAGTATTACATAAATCACTGATCATGAATTCATCGCGTCTTAGGAGAGACAGTATCATAAAGCTATGACCTGTAAAATCAGCAGTCTCTCCTTAGCTACTAAAAGGAATTTTAAAGAACATCTAACTTATTAAAGATTAGAAACTTAACAGGAATGACTTTCAGCAAGTATTGGAATGGAATGGAATATATAATTGATTGCTAATCACAAGACTTATTGGTATAATTCTAACATTACAGTTATATAAAAAAAAAATCTATGCAGTCAGATAATGTCAATCCTATTTGCAATTGAATGGCAACTAAAATATGAATCCCCCCCCTTATAAAAATTTAATAGGGTCTGTGAATTGTGCTACCACCACAAAGTCATAAAAATACCAATTATTTTTAACACCTATCCTTTAAGAAAAAAAAAAAAAAATTGTCACATTGTCATTTAATAAAGGAAAAATTCAATGCAAACAAGTTGCAAAGAGCTGACATAAGGAAAAACTAAAAATGAAATTGTCAGAAAAGATGTGCAAATTTTAGGAATATTAAATCAAAAATCTCTAGAAAAATTGAAATCTTCCCAATGCTAAAGTGAAAATAAGTTTCAAAAGTTTCTCTGCAATCTTTCTGCTACCTCAGATCCTGTCACTCAGCAAAGACAAAAATTCAAGCTTTTTGTATTAGATTTGCTGCTTAATTTCTGGGATGAGGTGTTATAGACAAGTCCTCATCTTTGTTGTCATTGTCATCAATGCAATATCCCCCCTGCTCCCAATTTATTTGGGAAGGTCTGTCAATCCCAGTCACCTTCAGGGTTTAATCCAAAAGATTTCACTGTCTAGGGATATCTCAGTTATGGCTTTCTTCTACCAAGTGAGTGTGTGACTTGCCAAATTCATAAACTGAAAGCTTTACTCAATCCACAGAACAATAGGCAAGTGGATTCAATTCATTGATATGTAAATTTGGTGCCAAAGCAAATTGCAATTTCAATCCCTGACCCAAGTTAGACAGATTTGGTGAGAACAGGACAATCAATAACTGGGTGGTACTAAATCAGAACAAGATGAGATCCCTAGAGACATCACAAGAAAAGTATCTATTCCCCACCCACCATAGAATTGGTAAAGATTTGAAACTCCCAAATATGGTTGAAACATTAGTTCAAATGCAAATTTGAACTGCCTGTCCACTCCTTGCTCATCAGAAACTAATAACCATTTTCCTGCTATTGTTTAAATGAAGGGCCCCTCATCAAATTACTACTTCAGGCCCTTGACCATTTCATGATAGTTTTCATTCCAACACCATTAACTAGGAAATTAATGCATTTGAGGTAGCAGACAGCATAATTTATGGGAGACAATTCAATTAGGAAATTGATTCTTAAATTATATTACTCAATTTTATATTTATTTAAATAAAAAAAAAAAGTAAAAAGAAAAAACAAAACAGTCTAAATTTGAAAATTTTATTTTATTTTTTTTTTTATTTTTTTTTTTTAATTTACTTTGTAAATTTCAACACAGAGGCCAACATTGTGAAGAATAATACCAACAATATTGACACTTTTTTTTTTTTTTTTATTGTTTTGTTTTGTTTTTCTATAATATGGAGCAAGGCACAAAACTAGACATTTAAGAATATTAAAAAAAGTTTTAAATGTCCAAGATAAACTGACAGACCAAAATTAAGTTCTTTTTAAGTGGAGCTCTCCTGTACAGTCTACAAATTTGAACAAATAAAAACGACATTTGCCTTCTTCCAATCTGGTTTTTTTGCTGTTGACTGAAATACCATAAAAAGGAGCAATTTGGTCAAACACCATCACCAGGTAGAAGGACCCAAGACATTTAACAATTTGGACACAAAAATTTCAGGATTTTAAAGAGAGGAAGGAAAAAAAAATATCAAAATAAACAAAACTATTTTTCCCTGGTTTACTCAGTGCCTTTGCTGTTTTTTCTCTCTCCCTCTCCTGTCCTTAGATTCCGTATTCTAAGCTGAGTGGAGCTACCCCATATGTCCAGTTTACTCCAACAACTGGCCAACAGACCCAGGGCGGGGATTCGAACAAGACTCATGTCTCTTCTAGACTGGAAAGAAAGAGAGAAAGAAAAAATGGGGGTCAAAAAAGCGATAAAACTTTTTGATCAAAGGAAATGTCTTTAAAAAAGGTCAGAGACTCAGAAAGAAACAAAAGAATTTCAGAACTGCTGCAAATGGCACAATTGAGACCCCCTTGTTATTCGACAAGAATAGAGATCAATAAAAAGATGCAGATCTTTCTCATTACTTTCTGGGTTCAACATTAGAGGAAATTTTTGCAAGAACAATAAATTCCATTTTAGAGAGGATTGCCTACCTTATAACCTTTGAAACAGGGTGACTAAAATATATGTAGTACAAAACAAAAAAGTGGACGGCCATTAACATTTTTTTTTCTATTTAGAATTACCATAGTAGTTTGTAAAACAGATGAGATCTCAAATGTTACCATCTTCAACTGAAATTTAATAAGCTCTATGAAAAACAAAAAAAAAAGGCTGAACTATTGACAAAAAAAGAAAAAGAAAAAGAAAGGCATGGGGAAGGGACTAAAACTTTTCACTGCGACTGAACATTTATTTAAGTCAAAACCTCTTGGCAAAGGAACAATTAAAGTTGAGGACGTAGAATGACAAACAAAATATACAAATTGGGAAGGTGATCTTTTGTAGGAAAGTCCACACCAAACATTTTACCTCATGCAAACAAATTTGAAAGCCAACAATCCCTGTCAAAATAATTTACAAGAATTTAACAGTACAGAGTTGTTTATAGCCTCTGTAGACAGTTACATCTCATCCCAAGCTGCAATTCTAGTGTTCCCTTCCTTGCTACACAGCCATGCACACCCAAATAGGTAAGCAGTAAATCTGGAGAGACAGCATTACAGAAGTCCAAAAGTCAGAGATCATGACCAAAGTTTTTATAAACTTAAAGAAAAAGTGGAAGGCATCAGGTTCAGACAAATGAATTCCTGTGTTCATAGAAAGTGTATCATAAAAAAAAAAAAAAAAAAACTTATAAATTATTCAACTGAAGAAAGCTGTGCAAGGAGTTAGCCAAAATTTAACAAAGGAATTCATTTGTCCAAAGGTTGGAATATAAATTACCAAACTGTAGACACTTAGAATGAATGAATTTACATTTGGCAAGAACTATAGTCTAATGAAAGCAAAACATTGTATAGGTAAAGTCATTTTTCTGAAAACCCTGTTAACAAAGCCAGAATTAGTGAGTGTAGGACAAGCACAGAAAGCCAAGTTGGAATGTTGCTGATTTATTTAGGCTTACTCTACAGTTGCATATGCAGAAAGCATATGCACATACACGCACATGTAGTGGCATGCCATTAACCGTTGCTGCAGTCAGTGTGGCTATGTGTAGCTAGACAAAATCAGTAACGGGCAAATGTCGGGCTGGTCCTGGAACGAGAGAGAGAGAGAAAGAAAAAAAAAAAAAAAAAAAAAAAAAAAAAAAAACTAATTTGTACAAACAGTACAATTTTTTTATAAGATAAATAAAAAAAAAAAACAAAAACAAAAAAATATGCTCCATTAAAACAAAAAGAAAATTTTTTTTTTTTTTTTTTTTTTTTTTAACAACATGCAAAACTCAAGCAGAAATCACAACTGGATGCCAGCTGACAGTCATGCAATGTTGAAACACCAATTCTATTTAATCAAAGTTTGAGAATATTAAAATAAGTAGTCTTGCTTTGTCCCAAAAGACAATGTATATTTCCCCATTAACAAATATTAATTAACCCAGATAGTTAAGATAAGAAGCAATGTTGTAGAAAGTCAATGTCCTGTCTGATTTCAGAAGAGAATGGCACTTGAATGCAGTCAAGTCATAATGAGGCTTAAAACATAAAATCCTGTTCACTTGGACCAGAGTGAAAAAATACACAAATAATATAACATATTTAGTTTGCCAAAATTAAATCACTAAAAGTTTTTATAGTTTATCAAAAATATACTTATATTGGGAGGTAAAAAAAAAAAAAAAACAAAAAAAAACAAAACACAAACTAAACAAGAAGCTATAGATATGTCAAGTTTGATTAAATCTAATTCAGTTTCACAAAATATTACAAAAAGGTGCTTGATTAATACATTCCCAACACATTTTACTCCAGAAATATTCCCATTTTAACCAATCTTGTTTTCAACTTATTAAATTCATAATTCCATAATTCACCCTATTAATTGAAAATGACTACAGTTCCTGTCACATTTAATAGGTTAAGCAGTACAGGTCAGAAATACATAAGACAATTCAATTTAAACATTCAGAGACAACAGGTGAAATTCAAGTCTTGCCATTTTTTTTTTCTCCAGGCTGCTTAAATAAGGTAATATTGTGAGTAAAAGTGGCAAATATATAAAGTTTGTGTTTTGGGGGCAGAGGAAATGTAAACATTAACAATTTTTCCTATCTAAAAATTTAGACAATAGAATATTTTTAATAAGTTGAAAATTTCTGAAAAATTGTTTAATACTGACAACCATTCTAGGAAGATTTGTGGGTGTGCCACTCCCTTCAAGAAAAGACTATATATATATATATATATATATATATATATATATATATATATATATATATATATATATGAGTTGATTGAGAATTTAAGAAATTAAAATGTTGAAATGAGAAAAAAAAAAAAAAAAAAGAGAAATTGATTTTTAACTTTTTAAAAAGGGATTTAACAAAATTGGTTGTCAAAGATAACTGAATGTTTCAGAAGTTCAAAGATTTTCAAAATACAAACATTTTAAACTGTTCATTCTCCATTAAAAAAGGTCAAAGGTTGTTGCAGTAGATTTAACTTTTACATAGATTTGTAATTCCAACTCTTCACAACACAAAAATTTCCAGCCAATTGAAAATAAAAGCCCAATATTTTTTTTAAATTTAATCTTCATTTTATGTTTCAAGACTTTTTTTTTTTTTTTTTTTTATACACAAGTTGCAGGCAGCTGGGAAGATCAAATCTTCGACAAACATACAAACCAAAAATAAATGAACATTCTTTAAAGATAAGGCAAAGAATAAAACAAGCCTAGAGCCAAAGATCTCAGAGTGAGACATGGGAGGGGGATCCAGTCACCCACAACGAACAAGATTGTTTTTACAGAAGGAGGCAAAAAAAAAAAAAAAAAAAAAAAATTTAGTTGCATTTATGGCTTTCATTTTAAATATTCTAACCACCATTTTTTTTTTTTTTAGCTGTGGCAGGATGGGAGAAAAGAATGGAAACAACTGTAAAATAGACCTTCTCTATTTACAAGTAACAATTTTTAAAGTAATTACTAAATTTAATCAGGGAATTTAGGTCCCTGTGGTCCCAATCTGCATCCCATTTGTTTTTTGAAAAAATATTGAAGGAAACTGGATAATTGGGAGAGGCAGGGAGTAGATTTTAATGAGGTTTTAAAAAAAGAAATGAAAAAAACCTCAACAAACAGCATCAAGTTCAAGTAAATAAGCAACTGCCCAAATGAAAGAGAAAAAAAAGAAAAAAATCACCATCTGATTATCCATTGATAAAAATCAAAGAAAGCACAACAACTGATTAACAGCAGTTTAATAACGGTGGGGAGGGAGATCTGTAATCAGTCTGGCCATAACCAGAAGATGAAGAATACAATATTTGGAGAGTTATCCCTTAAAAAATCTGTTAGAGAGTGAGAAGATAACAAGGAACAGCTACCATTGATCCATCATATTCCATCAAATGCTTCTACAAATGCCAAAGGCTTCTTTTATCGATCTTTGGCCATAGCAAAATTGTAGCACCACCAAATGTGATTCAACGATAGAGCTTCCCAAAAATAGGAAATGTCAGGCAGAGGCAGGTGAGGGTAGGTATAGAAATTATTCTCTACTATCTGGAAGGATTGATGAAATATTGAAGACAAGGAAAGAAAGACAATGAGAAGTCCAGATATCTTTGATTTAACAAAGATATCTGGGTTCTTAAAACTGCAGCTATCAATGAATAAAAAAACTGACGACTATCATAAGTTGAATGGCCAGGGATTGTACAAAACTTAAAAAAAAAAAAAAAAAAAAAAAAAAAAACACCTGGGGGGTAGTAATTAAGCAATTCCTCTGCTAGTTCAGAACTAGTACAAACAAGATTTTTTTTTTTTTTTTTAAAGTCAAGACATTAGGAAATAACTAAATATTCAAAATGTTTTCACTTAAGCCAGTCAGCAAAGGAAGCAAGATCTAACTTTCTTAGAGTTAGGCTAAAAGGAATCACGACCAATATTTATAACCATTCTGACCAACATGTGAAGATTTATTATAAAAACCTCACTGCCTCATCCCCCAACCCAACAATTTTAGAAATTTTATTTAAAGGAAGAGAAAAAAAAACCTTTTGCAAAACAGAATATAAAACTAAAAATCAATGGAGAGAGAAAGAGAGAGGAAAAAAAAAGAAAAAGACAAATGAAAATAAAGAGAAATTAACTTTTTTTTTTTAAAATCAAGGCAAAATGTTTAAATTGTAAAGTCTTCTTTCTAGGCATTTTTATTTATTTATGTTTTTTTTTTTTTTTTTAAAATCTTTCTACAAAGTGTGATAATTTCTCTCTTGCCTGGCCTTGTAGAATTTACACCCAAAGAACACAATGGCAATCACTCCGGCACAAAGGATGATTCCACCAATAAAAGATGCTGCATCAAAGTGTTGTGGAGGAGTAGTTGGAGCAGCTGCAGTGGACGAGGTGGAAATTGTGGTCAACACATGTGAAGTGGTTCTGCTGGGGGATGTAGAGCTGCTTTGTTTTGTGGTAGTAGAAGATATGGTGGTGTTAGGAGAAACGGCGGTGGTGGTGTTAGGAGAAACGGTGGTGGTGGTGTTAGGAGAAACGGTGGTGGTGGTGTTGGTGGCAGACGGCTTTGTCGATGTTAATATGCTTGTTGTAACTGATGGTACTGTCGATTTACCATTTGAGCTATTATCAGCATCTAAACCGGAAACAGAACACAAAAAAAAAACGTTAAAAACATTAAAAAATATATCAAAGTGCAAAAATACATTTAACTCTTTACACGATCCTTGTTAGAAAGTAAATCTAACCTAAAAAAAAAAAAAAAACCTTTTGCAACTCGCCTAAGACATCATTGCTGTACTAAAAAGAGGAAATTAGAGCCTTCCTGGAAAATTTCTGTATCTACAATTTCTGTTGACAACTATATGAATTTAGTTCCATTTGGTAACTAAAATTTGGACAATAACTCAATGAGGTGTGTGTGTGTGTGTGTGTGTGTGTGTGTGTGTGATTTGTTTAAATTTGTCTTGGTTTTAACAATCTCAATGAGACTAAGAGTACAAGGAGGATAGTTTTGCATAAACAGAAATAGGCGTATAAAATAAAGCAATTATGCCAAAGATTCAGTTAATATTCAACTAAGGGAAGTAAATCTATCCATTTTGCTTGCAATAACAAACCTGGTTACTTGAGATGAAATGTTATCTAACAAGTTTTAAATACTGGTTTATTTCAGAATTTTTTTAATACATTTTGTAACTTTTTGCAACAGCAAGTTTTGTTTTCATAGCTAAAATCAAGTATATAATTTAAAAATGTATAGGAAAATGAAAAAGAATGTAGATAAAAGAAACAGGTAATTATAAAGTGTCAGAACAAACCAGTGCAAAGGCAAAAAGCTTGCTGAGGAAAAATGTTTTTATCGTTTCATCAAAAATAAAACAAATGCAACCTGTTGAATAAAAACTCATTAAGTGGTATAAATATAAAGTGATGATTTAGCTTCAAAGAAAATAGAAAAAATTCATTAAAACATTTACTGAAAATTAAATTTAATGAAGGTATTATTTTCAATTCTAACAAGGTTAGTGTTGGAGTGAGAGGGGGAGTAAAACTTTTACTAACAAAATGGAAAATGGTTTGTAATTTTGTTGAAAATTGTTTTGTAATTACAAAATATTACATTCTTTATGCTACTTTCAGGTTTTAAATGAATTCTATTATTCCTGTAATTTCTAGAACATCAGGAGATTAAAATTTTTTTTTTAAAAGATTTGTTTTGGTTTATAATTTTTTAAATGTTCATATTGGGGATTTGTTAAAAGAGGAAATCTGTAAAAGTAACCTATACAAACAAAACTTACCTGAAGACTGCATAAAGTAAAGAGAATTGTTATAAAGTACAGGGGGGGTTCTTCCCTTATGGAGATTCATTCCTATGTTGCAACATAACCAGCTTTTAAGCATAGGTCAGAACTCACATAAGCACCCGAGTGCCTTATACTTGGGAGGCCATAATGAAGTTCCGAAACTGACAAATGAGAAATAGTGAATGTGGCACAGTCCAACATGGTATAGAGCCAGTCAAGAAATACTGTTTTCCTCATATAGCGCCATGTGAACCATTATGGGAGATGGCACCATAACCACAAAATGCCATACGTTGGGTTTAATGTAACCAGAGAACCTTCTGTAATTTGCTAACAATTTTAAGTTTCTTCTTAAACCTAAATTATATACTTCCAAGTCTTTATTTGCAAGATATTGGCAAATAAGGAAAAAATAAACAAAAACTAGTCTTACCTATATCTGTGTTATCTGTACCTGAAAAGAAAAAAAAAAAGTCAGTGAAAAGTCATTTCCAAAATTTATTTCTAAAATTTTCATGGCATGAAGACAAGCCCTCCCAAAAATGGAATTTAGAATGCAAAATTTCTACCCATTAGAAATGATATCTACTTGTCACTATCTTCAAGTTACCAAATTCAGTATAAAGAAAGCATTTTCTTCAGTTTTTATACAAGTAGATATTTTTAGAAGGAAACCAGATATTACCAAAAAGATGTTTAGATATAGAAATATATGCAAAACGCCATACAGATTTTGGATTTCAATAAAGGCGTTTTGTTATTCACAGGATATTTTTTCTTTTAATAGTGAATAGAAACCTTTTACAGGTCACTTAAAAAAAAAAAAAAAAAAAAAAAAAAAATTGTTCAAAAGATTCACCATATACAGAGTCCCCAATTTTGTCTTAAAATTTAGATATACTAAAAATAAAATTTTTTTTTAAATAAACCATATGTATGCATGCATAGATATGGTTTATTTAATACATGCGTAACTATTACATAGCTTACTATTTTCCAAGAATTTAATTTCAGATCTGTTGACTTGATAGCTAGAATCATTATTTTAGGAGTTCTTTGTAGCTAAGAAGACCTTTGCAAATATTGCTGGAAACTTGATTTGTTTACAGCAAAATCCTTTCATGAACAAAGCAACTGAAAAAAATATACTAATTACATACACTGATTTAGCTTAGGTCGTCTGAAATAGTTAAGGATTTTTCAGTAATAAAAAAGTTTTGTTAAATCAGAATTTTTTTACATTACTTTCTTTAATTGCTTTTATATTTGGATACAAAACTGCAGATATGAAATATTTCAGATCTATAAGAGAAGTTTCACTTAAAGACAATTTCAGCCCTGCCTGATAGAGTAGTTCTCTGTAGCCCAGGTCTAATGGTAGCTCCCTCTGGCCAGGGGTCGCAGGTTCAAATCCTGCCAGAGAGTGCAATTTCTTTGTTGGATTAATAAAAATCCATTACTTTCTTTTATATATGTAAAAGTTTCAGATAGAATCTTTTTGTAAAAAGAAAATGTGTGCGTGCGTACACACACATACACACACAGTTTCAAAAAAGTTAAAATGCATGCAGTGTTAAGTCAAACCTTGCAAAGCTAAATGATTCATCACAACTTGGCATGAAATTAGAAGACAAAGTCTTGTAAAGTAATTGCTCAAATTTAATTAAACCAGTTTTGTTTTTATTAAAACCAGTTTCATTTGAAATAAAAAAAATTTGCTCACATGGAAAAAAAAAAAAAGTTTGGAGATTTTATTTCAAAGGTCCATCCCTGCTATCAGTTGGATTTTGCTTTAACTCAATATTTGAAGTACCTTAAAATTTCAAATGCAATTTTAAGTCATTAAAATTGATTTTTAAAATTAGCAAATATTTTCTGAGTTTAGGAAAAGGGAAAAATCCAGATTTCATTTTTAATATTTTCATTATTGAAAAAGAACCTGGAAAAATTTAATTGAAACTGAAGTTTTTAATTAAGTTTTAGTCTGATAGAATACCAGATAATACTGAAAATTAGAGCTATATAAAAGTTTTTAAAGTCAGTTTTCAAATTTCTGAAAGATTAAAAGCTCAATGTGAAGCTATATACTTGTAAATTCTAAATATCCTTAAAATGTAAATTTTAAAGCACCGCACCCACCCTTTGAGATAAAAATTTCCTGCTCCAAATACATTAACAGAGCAAACATTAAACCTAAAAGTACTAGATTTAATCTTTAATGCATATTAAAATAAGATCATTCATGCAATACAGAGAATGATTAAGGAATCAACACAAATCCTCAAAGAGAATTTCCTTGAATATAAAAACAAGGTCAAAAGTTATGATTCACTGTGTGTGTGTGTGTGTGTGTGTGTGTGTGTGTGTGTGTGTGTGTGTGTGTGTGTGTACCTTGAGACAAGCTTGAGCATTGGCTCCACTCCAGAAAATTAGAAACAACTGTAAGCTCCTAGTTAAGTTCGATATTACCTCTAGTAATTAGAGTTCTTTTTCTGGGAAGTGTCCAGTAAACAGTCTAATGTTAAAATTCTCCAATTTGTTTTAACTGCAAAAGACAGACAAGCAAATGCATGCATTCAAAACAAACATTTTCATTTTATGAAATTCATGATATGAGAAATCATTCTTGCCAAAATAGCAGAAAAATGATTTAAATCTAGAACTAACCAATGTTTTTAGTTCTAAAATTAAATCTATCAAATTGTTTCGGTTTCTATTCACTAATTTGGGAGTATCATTAAAATTAAATATACTGGTTAAATTCTTTTTAGAATGCTTCATTAGCAGAAGTCGACAATGGCTACCAACTAGTTTAGCTTTATACCAATTGTCTTCCATTTCCTGACTCAATACAATTGCTATAAATTTTATTTTATATAAGTATTGAGAGGCTTATGTGCACATCCATAACATGATGAAAAGTTTTGGCACAAAGTTATCCAGTTGTTACTTAGTATGACCTTTGAGGTCATCAACAGGCACAATGTTTAGTTTCTAGCCAAGTAAAGCATTTTTGGACTGAGATAATGAAAAAAAAAAAAAAAAAAAAAAAAAAAGGCACAAATGTTTTTTCAAGAGGAAAAAAATGATTGGTTTTGTTTCTAAAAAGCTTCTAGACATTTTCAGAAACTTTAAAATTTGATAAACTATAGATACTATTAGTGGCTCTGAACAAGGCTTTTTATTATTATTATTATTATTGGAGCAGCTATAGCAGGCAAAAAATGATTCCCAGAATTTCTATAGTTCCAATCTTCCCCTCTGAATTCAAGTAACTTCAATTCCCAATGGGACTCAGCTATGACCATCAATAAGGGAAAATTTGACTTCATGCTTTTTCCATCCATAGTCAGGTTATTCTAGAATTGGATCTCCAAAACAACCTTTTCATACTTAGCACTTAATAGATAGAAGCTCTTAGTGTTGTGTATCCAGACACCCTATCAAAGACATTTTGGACATCAAAATATTTTTTTTTTTTTTTCAACAACAGCTACTTTTTCAACTGTAATTTTTTTCTTTATTTGCTTTACTCTGTAAGAAACATTAAATTAATATTCTTTTTATCACATGAATTCTCTTGTGGTCACTGCATATATGCAAATGTCAGTGTATCACACTTTTTCAACTTTACTCCTAGCAGCCATAGCCCACATATACCATTTTGGAATCAGGCAGATTTAAGCCAAGCTTAAATATTAATGCAATACTTAAATGCAGTGATCAATTTAGAGTTCTGTAGTTTGCTGCCTATCACATATGACAGCAGTAGGCTTTGAAAAAAAGAAATCTAACAGAGGACCAGATTGCAACCAAAAGAGCCAAGGCAGCAGCAAGGAAAAGAACATCCTATATAAATGAAAACTCAGTTTTTAAGCATGCACACATATGTACATATTATAATTATTTTTTAAAAATGATTCCATCGCTACATAAGAGTTCACATGTTTCAAAAGCAGGAGCTAAAAACTTCAATTTAATTATAAAATTAAATAGAATTAAAGTAAAAATTTTTGGAATAACTAATCTTGAAATTTACATAGCTTTATAAGCATATCCATTTGTAATATTAATTACTATGGAAATGGCTGAAGCAATTATTTCAATAAGGGGTGTAAGGGTTAACATTGTATCAACATTAGTTACTTTCGGAAAGAGGTCAAGTCAAGGTAGGGTTGGGGTGTATTTTAAAGCGAATAACATTCATTATACGCATATCATCTAGACTGTTTCAGCAACAGAGTTATTGGCATTATTTTTACACTGTTTAATGCCTCAAGATCCCCCCCCCTTAAAAGGGTTGTTTGTATATAAATGCATTGTATTGAACTACAATGTTTTTTTTTGACTTCATAAAGGGTTTTTTTTTTATCTTATGATTTGGGTTAAGCTTTTAAACCTTTTAATAGACTATGAAATTAAAATTTTTAAGCTAATTATTTAATGCGAAAATTTGTTGATGTTGGCAAAAAAACCATTAACTCATGTCTATGGTTTAAATAAATTTTCATTTTTTAGAAATTTAATATGTAGTTTTTCATGTAGGTCATCCCAGGTTTTACAAGTTCTTGTTCTATTTATTATTTTCCATTTTACTTTTGGTGTTTTATTCATTTCTTTTAAATGCCAAAAATATTTTGATAGGGATGTCTGATTTCTGTTTCTAATATTATTGAAGGAGCTTTTGTGTTGTCTCCATCTAATTTTAAATTAATTTTCTGTAGAACCTATATATATCATTTCAGTGTTAGATTTTATGCAGCATTTATTTTCCAACAGGCAGTCTTCAGAGATTCTACAATCACAATTTTTCATTATTTTTGTCTAATTTTACTTTAAGGTTTTTATTAATACTATTTTGGCATGTTTTTCCAGTATTGTTTTATGATTCTTTCTAGATTTTCAGTGCAACTGCAGCTTAATTAAGGGTTTTTTTTTTTTTAAAGATCTTGCTAAGTCTGCTATTAGTAGAAAAGTGCTTTTCAATTAACGCTAGGAATTTTTGTCCTAGCTTAATACTATTTGGTTGAACGGAGGGGTATACCAAATGATTTAGCGGAGTTCATGCTGATTCTTTTCTCTATTGATGAGGGTATATGCTTAATTGTAGATGGAGGGTGGTTTGACCTAGGGTGTACATACAAGGGGTTAGCGTCAGGTTTTCTGTAAGGCAGGTATATGTTCATTAAATCCAGAGTTACACAGAGGAAGTTTACCCTTTTCAAATGTAGTTTTAAATTTAGTTTTCTGAATTCACTATATATTATCTTTCTAATTTTATCTATTTTAAAATGTGGAACTCCTCACTACCATGAGCCCATCATCCCTGTATAGCCCGATGTCCTAATGTCTAATTCACAGTGGCTGTATAGTATAAATAGGCCAACAAGGTCCGAAGACTGCAGAGCCTAAAGATCCCATGGTGATGTCAAAATGGTCAGTGTTTTTTAATCC